TCTGTGCTGGCACCAGAGTCTCCTACAGTCAGTAGTCCCTCTGCATCTGGCCCCTGGCATTTCCCGTCACAATCTTATGGCCTCTTGACTTCAACGTGAGCTTCTAAAACCCCTTGAAAGCTACGCAAAGTTTGGCAAATATTTACGGTCAGGGAACCAAGAACAACTTGGCAGTCTGAAGATGCGGAAACGTTCTTCCCGGCGGGTGGGGCGTTTTGCAAGCCCAGCTGCTGAAGAGGTAGGCCGGGCGCCAGGTCAGCCAACCAGCGTGGCGCCCCTCGCATGGCAACGAAGCCCTGCTGTCTCACCTGGTGGCTCCTCAGCTCCTGCTGCCCCACTCAGTTATGGCAACCAGACAACCAGGGCAGGAGGAGCTGCATCCAGAGCAAAACGCCTGTTCGCTCCTCTTTCCCGTCTACCCACCGCGTGACAGGTCATCTATCGAGTTTACTCTCCGCCAGGCCCTTCTGCTAAAGGAAGCGCTCTTTTCCTATCGACGGGCTCATTCACTCAACAAGTATTTATTGAGCACCTACTCTGTGCCAGGCACTGTTCTAGGTGCTGGGGATACAGAGGTGAACCGTACAAAAGCCCTACCCTTGTGGAATTTGTAATCTGCCGGGAAGCTGGTGATAAATCTGTAGTTATAGATTAAAAACCAGAAAACGTAACAGAAAGTGAGGGAGGCAGTGTTTTGGCTGGGGGGGAGGGAGGTGGGGTTCAGAAATGGCCTCCCTGAACTGAGAACTGAAAAACGAGAAGGAGCCAGCAATGTGAAGATTCAGGGGAAAAGCACTGATAGCCGAGAGAACAGCCAGTACAAAGGCTTAGGATAATCCAGGGACAGAAAGGTCAGTGTGACGGGGAACAGGGAGCAGCAGGGGAGAATGGTTAGAAGGCCAGAAAACAGGATGGGTGGCCAAATCACGCCGGACCTTAGGAAGCCCTGGGTGGGCAGGAGGTTGGCTTTTATTCCAACGGTGACGGGGAGTCGCTAGGGGGCTTTCGATGGGTGTGGCAAGAGCCGCTCTGTGCTTTACAAGGCTCTCTGGCTGGCTGGGGAGCATGCACTGCTTGTAGGGGGCAGGTATAGTCACAGGGAGACCAGGGAGGAGCCTAGAGCAATAATCTAGACCAGTGATGGCGACCCTATGACACGCGTGTCAGAGGTGACACGCGAATTCATTTTTTTGGTTGATTTTTCTTTGTTAAATGGCATTTAAATATATAAAATAAATATCAAAAATATAAGTCTTTGTTTTACTATGGTTGCAAATACCAAAAAATTTCTGTATGTGACACGGCACCAGAGTTAAATTAGGGTTTTTCAAAATGCTGACACGCCGAGCTCAAAAGGTTCGCCATCACTGCTCTAGACCCTGGATGACCAGACCTGGGGAGGGGAAGCAATGGAGCTGGAGAAGTCAGTATAGATTTGAGACTTGTTTTGGAAGCAGTATTAACAAGGCTTGCTGAGCCCCGCTGGTGTGGCTCAGTGGTTGAGCGTCGACCTATGAACCGGGAGGTCACAGTTCGATTCCTGGTTAGGGCACATGCCCGGGTTGCAGGCTCGATCCCCAGGGTGGGGCGTGCAGGAGGCAGCTGATCCATGATTCTCTCTCATCATTCATGTTTCTCTCTCTCTCTCCCTTCCTCTCTAAAAATCAATTAAAAATCTATTTAGAAAGAAAAAAAAAAAAAAACAAGGCTGGCTGATATGGGTCATCCCACCCCAAGCAACATTGAGAGGGGAAACTGGGAGGAGCGTGTGTCATTGGCTGGGTGGTGGGCAGAGCTCTGGCCTCCTCCTGCGACAGTCATGGAAGGGAGCCCTGCCCATATGACCCTAATAACTGCCCCCTTGTGCTTTGACCCTGGGAAGCCAGAGGGTTCTCTTTAGGGTGGAGGGTCCTCTGTACCCCTTGTCCTCCAGGAGAGCTGGGAGGCAAAGGCGGGTCGGCACAGGGATCCATGCCCAGGTAAGCCACAGCCAGCGAGGGTGGCCACGCCCAAGCAGCCGGAGCCGGGCATTTACTGACATACCAGCAGGCAGCCTGTCGCCAACCTCAGAACCAGGCCAAAAAAAGCGGGGGGCGGGGGGGGGTGTGTCCCAGGTCTACGGGTAGGAATCTCCTAACACCCTAGTGCCAGCAGCAGTACAGGCAGTGATGTGAGAAGGTTCCCTTCCACTTAGACTCCCGCATTGTTTTCTCACTCTCTACAGCAGGGGTCCTCAAACTTTTTAAACAGGGGGCCAGTTCACTGTCCCTCAGACTGTTGGAGGGCCGGACTATAGTTTAAAAAAAAACTGCGAACAAATTCCTATGCACACTGCACATATCTTATTTTGAAGTAAAAAAACAAATGTTTTTGGCGGGCCGCACATGGCCCGCGGGCCGTAGTTTGAGGACCCCTGCTCTACAGTGACGGCAGACGTGCTACCTAGAGCTCCACGCGCTGCCCGGTGAAGGAGCCACATCCCGCAAAGTGGCCGCCCGAGCAGGAGGGGCCGGGGCGGGTCAGCATCCCCTGGCTGTGGACTGGCACACAGTGCTGGGCAGGCAGCAAGCCACCCAGGTCCCCGGGCAGGAGGGGAAGTTAGGACATTACGGCCGGTGAGACACAAGCTTCAAGCTCGAGGCTCCTGGTGCCGGGACAGCCAGGGCTGCCAAAGGCTTTCCACAGAGCTCTCCTCGTGGCCAGAGGGGAGCGGAGAGCCAGGCCACGCTGAGCTCATGCCGGGGACGGGAACGTGTTAAGCCGTTTGAGTCCTGGCAGGCTGCAGTGTCGTGAAGTGGTGGAAGGGGACCTGGCAGAGTTCTGGCTGCAGCCGGGAGCCTTGGGGCGAAGGGTTTTACATTCACTGCTTTTATTTTAAATCCTCACTCGATGGATTTTTAGAGAGAGGAATGGAGAAACATCGATCGCTTGCCTCCCATACACGCCCCAATTGGGGATCGAACCCCCGCACCTCTTGGTGTATAGGACAATGCTCCACCCAATGAGCCACCCGGCCGGGGCCACAGTAACTTTTTAAAGAACTCCCCTGGCCATGCAAAGCCTCCTAATGCATAGGCTCACTAGGAACGCTCCAGGTCTCCGCCCGCTTCCTTTAGCAGCTGCATTACAACCTCGGATGACAACTCAAACCCAACACTGCCCACCCTGGAAGTGAGACGGGTCAGGTGGGTGGGAGGATGGACTTGGTGAATGAATGTTCCAAGCACTGATGGGGAAGTCTGTGACACAGTAGGATATCAAGTGCAAGAGAGAGGAATAGAGTGAGGGGCCGAGGGGAGGGCTGCTGCCTGGGGTCGGGCTGTCAGGAAAACACCCGACGAGGGCCATCCGTCACCTTCAAGGACAGGGGGGTGTTCGCACAGCCGTCCCCAGGTTACCCTTTGGGTCCTCAGCAGCTTGGGGCACCTTACACAGTAACTGTTCTGCCAATTGGAACTCACTCGGGAGAACAGGTGATTCTGCCCTGGGCAGCCCGTTACCTCCCACAACTTCCGGGCAGCCGGGCAGCCGGCCCAGTGTCTTCCCTCCCTCCCCTGGCGGCACTGTGAGCACCCCGAGCCCTCTGTGCTGGCAGCTCTCCACTCTCCCAGGCCTTCCCGCCCACGCCCCGGCTCACCTCCACAGAGAGGATCTTCCCCAAGGCGAAGAAGAAGGGGTGCATGTTGATGTCTGGGTCTTTGCGGAAGCAGTTGGGCTTGGCGTGGTGCTGGAAGTGCATGTGGTTCCACCAGCTGGCGGGGGCCCCCTACGGAAAAGCGGGGGCATGAGTGTGAAAGCCTAGTGCCCTCCCCGCGCCCCCCCCCCCCCCGTAGTCCTGCATTAGCCAGAGTTTCAGAAAGCCCCTCCCCGAGCCACTGACCTTCAGGTGGCCGATCACGAAATGATGTAGCAGGTGGTTCCACCTAGAGGTGCCGAAGACAGACAGGTGCCCGAAGTCGTGCTGCAGCCAGCCAGCCTGGGCCTGCGAGAGAGGTCAGTGCCAAGAGCCGCTCCCCGGCCCCGCGTCCCTCCCACCGACCTGCAGCCTCTGGACCTCACCCGCCAGCGATGCTGTAGGCCCCTAACTGAGCTCACCAGGAGAGGAGCTGGCCAGCCCGGCCCTCCCGCTGGCTGTGGCACTAACTCACAGGAAAGCGGGACCCAAGCACATTCCCTTCCCTGCCCGTCCGTTTCCCCATCATGGAGACCTGTGACTTACAACGGGCTGAACGTCCAGACCACAGGGAAGGACAGAGGGACACACTCAGGCTTGGCAGATGCGTCCAGGCAGCGAGTGTTAGAGCCCACGCATCATCAGCACGTGGGTGGCCTTGTGCCGGGAGGAAGCCAAGCTTTGCTGATAAACCAGATCTTGGTTCTTGGCACCCTGGGGCTGTGGCAGGACCCGACAGGAATTTCCCGGAGAAATTCCCCGGGAAGCAGGGAGCCCTGGGAGAAGCCGCTGGAGCGGCAGGGAGGGGACTGAAGGCGCACTGCGACCAACAAGCAGACGAAAGCCACAGACAACGGCTCTCCGCCTGTCCTCAGCTCTGCCCGCCGCGGGGAGGGCACCTAGGCCTCCTGACGGGAGGAGCTTCCCCCGGGGACGCAGGGCATGGCCGGGCTCTTTTTTTAAAAATATGTTTTTATTGGTTTCAGAGAGGAAGGGAGAGGGAAAGAGAGAAACATCAGTGATGAGAATCACTGATCGGCTGCCTCCTGCATGCCCCCTACTGGGGATCCAGCCCGCAACCCGGGCTCGTGCCCTTGACAGAAATCGAACCAGGACCCTGCGGTCCGCAGGCCGGCGCTCTATCCGCCGAGCCAAACTGGCCAGGGCCGGCCGTGCTCTCGCCAAGCCGGGGGCGCTCACCTGAACTGCACTGAGCAGCACCGCGCAGAGGACGAAGGGCACGAAGGACGTCCCGAAGGCCCGCAGCGTGAGCCAGGCGGCCGCGTCCAGCAGCAGGATGTGCAGCAGGTGCAGCAGGAAGAAGGCGCGGTTGGCCTTCATGAGCCCCATCTGCTCCACGGCCGCCCGCAGCTCCCGGAACTCATCGGTCAGCTCTTTCTGGGGAAGAGGGAAGCGGGGGAAGCTGTTATTCTCCCCAGCGGCACCATGACCCTGCTTGGTGACCCGGGGCCTCTGAGGCCAGTGGTTCTCAACCTTCTGGCCCTTTAAATAGTTCCTCATGCTGTGACCCAACCATAAAATTATTTTCGTTGCTACTTCGTCACTGTCATGTTGCTACTGTTATGAATCGTCATGTAAATATCTGATATGCAGGATGGTCTTAGGC